AAATGTGCGAATTGTGTGGGAGCACTACTGCTTTGTCAGGGTTTGGGATCATGCGACAACGCTTTACGAAATGGACGATGGCTTTGCACTCAAACCAACTGCTAATGGGAAAATTAGTTAAGCAAGAAAAGTGGGTTACAGCGCTGGCAGATCACACAGCCCTCAAAAGTTGGCCAAACCTTCACCTTGATCGAAGACGTACACACCCACTATCATTGGTTCTACGAAGGAGAAAAATTGCACAAGGAGAAGAGAAAGACCACTTGTATGTCAGAACGAAGGACTACTTAGCGGGCCTCACAACCTCAGAGCACAGTCGTGTGTGAACAAAGCAGAGCAACTTGTTCCAACCAATGAATGATTAGGTTTAAGATGAGTGACTTCCATCTCTAAAAGCCCCAAATTCACAATCACAATAGCAGTTGCCTCCCCGATAAAGCATCACGTCTCGTGTCTTGGTAACAGCTAATCTCATGGGCACGGCTGTGTTATCGCCGTAGCTAACTATATGTAGAGCCAATCCACGTTCTGTCGGACACGATGACGCACCAACAGATCAGGCGGCTTCAACTAATCTCCTGCCCATCAGAACAACATTTGATTGTAAAACGTGTTGCACACAACAGCACTGCATTGGGAGTGGACGAGTGCTGACTTGCCACACTTGCGTCCAAACAGGAGTGGTGGGAGGGGGTAAGAGCATTTGCAAAGGAAGGGACTAAATGCCTACGGCGACGAAAGTTGGCCTTTTGTGGCCTCATTGTGGTAGTCTGCGAAGCTTGGCTCGACGGTTTTTGAACCACACTTGAATTCGCCGCTCATTTGTGCCAAGTCGGTTGGCTAGCTCTTGTCGAGTGAGGCGGTCGGGGTTCCTGGTAGCCCTAAATGCAGCCTCCAACACTTCCAACTCATGTGGCCTGTAGTTCGTTCTTCTGCGTCTGGATGGGCCTGGAGCTGAAGTAGATTGCAAAGCAATTGGCAGAAACGAGCTGTGTGAGGTGCATTTCCCCGCTAGACATGACGCTAAATTCATTATGACGTCTCTGCTTAAGTCTTCGCAGCAATATGCGCATCTACGAGAAGACAGTGGACCAGCGTACTACTCAACTCACTCCAGATGACGACAGGCATAGTATGCTGTAGAAAGTTGAAAGCATGGCTTCAACCTTAGCTCAAAAGACTTTAGAATCGGCTCCATTGCAAACATCAATGGTCTAGT